TTTTTCCCCACAAGGACAGACTGTGAAAATGGCTATTAAGCCATCTAATAGGTTTTGAGAAAAAGAGTGGTGGTGGTGGTGGTGGTGGTGGTAGTAATAGTAGTAGTAGTAGTAGTAGTAGTAGTAGTAGTAGTAGTTGTTGTTGTTGTTGTTGTTGTTTACATAGCTTTCAGGAAATGTGAGTCCTGTTCCATGCCAGCAGGCTGTCTAATGCATGCAGGTTCTGTTTAGATTTCTGCTGTCTACATGGGAATTTTCAACTCTGACAAAAAATCTTTTTCCCTTTCTACCTTTTTTTTTTTTTTGAATGAAGGAGAGGCCTAGAATACTAAGCTGGAAGAGTATCCTTTTTGAATGTACTGAATTTGGGGCTGTATTTCAAATCTCATTGTATCTTAGAGCTTGGACAGAACACGAGGGAAGTCTGTATACCCCACCATGTGTTAAAATTGATAATACTCAAATGGCAGCTGTTTTAGGAAAATGGACTTAAATTCAATTTTAAATCTGAGTATTCAAAGAATGAAAATTAAAACTAATGTGTAAATATATCTAGTAAGACTTTATTAATATAATTACATCCATGGAGCCCAAACAGACCCATTTTCACGAGAATAGTTCTTAACAAATTTATTTCTCTAAGGCAGTGTTTCTCAACCTTGATAACATTAAGATGTGTGGAGTTGAACTCCCAGTATGCTGGGGAAATCTTGGAAATGACACATCCCACACATCTTAAAATTGCCAAAGTTGAGAAACACTGATCTAAGCACCCATTGTATACTATTGAGATTTCTTCTAAGAAATCTTAATAATGAGCACTTAAAATAATATTAGTTGGGTTAACATTAAATAAAACATGTAAATTGATTCCTAAGTTAATTATGGCACAATAAGGACTAAACATGATCAATAACCTTAGTTTGTTTAACCAGGAACAGGTTTAACACAAGGTAATTTTTTTTTAAGTTGGTTATTGTCCAAAATCAGTTTCTGGCTACAAGTTTACAATAGGTACTAGGCAAAGTATTTGAAAAGTGTCTATGACAATCTGCCGCTGCCAACTGGAAGCCAACTTGCCATGGCCAACTTACTGCAGCCAACTCACTGTGGGACATCATATCAATATCACAATATCAGAGAAATTGTGGAATAGAATAATTAAAGAAAGGATGAAAAAGGACTGATAGAATGAAGTGTGAATGCCAAAAATTATTATTTTTTATTTACTTTAAATAATTAAATTGAATTGTTAAATTGCCCTACAGCGAGTTGTCTTGTGATGAGTTGGCTGTGGCGAGATGTCCCATTCTGATTTGGAAAGGTGCTTCACAAAGCACATGTGGGCACATCTGAAATCCTACCCCACCCCTCTTTCTCAAATTGCTGAGGAAACTACTGCACATCTTCCAGGAGGCTCAAATTGGAAGTAGCTGCTTTATCAATCAGCCTTCTATGTAGAGGTACTTTTCTAACTGACCTTCAGTTTTCGTGCATGTATGCACATGTGCAGAGTCTATGAACATGTTTAAAGTCTAGAAAATCTGTGCCAAAACTTTGGAAGGATCTCTTCAAGGACTTTTGCTTCATTCAGTCCATCAAGGAGTTTTTGCATAGCCATAATACAGGCACAGATTTTCTTGGCATCCTCACTTCCCTTGGTAATTCTCATCTGATAACCAGCTATTGATTAGTTATGATGTCATAATCATGAAACACGCGGTGATTAACGCTTTGTTGCCACGGTGATGTCACATGTTTTGAAGATCAGACCAAAGCAAGGCATCTAATTGCTTAAGAAGGGATTGAAGAGCTAGTAGTGATAAGTGTCTTTACTAAGTTAAATCTGCATGCCATACTCCCCGCTGACTAAAGTAGAAAGTCTCAGTTTATAAGATCAGGCTATTTAAACAATGTAACTATTGCTTCCAAGCTATGGAACATAAAATAATGACAGCATAAAAGTTATTTAGGCAGTTTTAAAGTCATTTGGTGAAAGTGACACATAGTTCTGTATGTGATATATATTCATATACACACATAAAAAGACACCGAGGAAACAAAAAGACTTCTACTAATTGTGTACTTGTTAATTTTGCAACATAATTGTATAATGAACTACTGTATTTTATTTTTCAAGGATATAATAGTATTGTTGAAAAAATAGGAGAACATTTACAGTATGTTCATTGCCATCCTTAGAATTACAGAAGGAAACAAATTAGTATGTCTTAATTTATTTTTATAAATCTCCCAAAGGTTGCTATTATTATGAACTATGTGTAATTATTAAAAATCTTTTCAATATTACTTCAACTTGAAGGTAAGAAACTGCTTAATATTTCCTGGATGCCCCTCTTTTTTTAACCCATCTTTTAGAAGTGAATTAAACATATAGATGCTATTTACTCCGTCAAGGTCAATGTCTAAAAGCTGAAGTCACAAAGTTATTTAATATAGAAATGAAGGCTGATAATTTCAGTTTCTCAGTTTGACAATACAATATAATAATGTTTTAGAATGATGTATAGAGTTGTATCTTGTGATTTATTTATTTTCAGTCTTATTTATGTACAGTACAGCTTAATATAGTTCAGTTCTGCACTTTTAAATTTGCGGGTGAAAAAAAGCTACTGTGCAAATTGTTTTAGGGACACATACAAATGTACCTCCCTCTTCTGAAGGTATGCCACAATATTTAGAGAGAAACAAAAAGAATAATATATTGGCAAGACAAATTTTGTTGGCTGTTTATAAAAGAATCTTTCATCCATGCCGCCTTTGGCATGCTAAAATTTCAGCAACCTCAACTAATACTTAAGAAAACAGTTTGACGTCCTGGAAATCTTACACAAAGTCTGCTTAGCATTTGAAACAATTTTGAAAATCGTGATCATGGACAAATACCAGTCAAGTCTCATACTACACTAATATCATTTTTTATCATAAAAGTTACCTATCAGAGAATAGAACAAATGTAATCATATCTTGATTATCATTACTTCAGTACAATCCTGCACGTCATATTACAAGTATTATACAATATTGTTTAGCCAAATGAACAAAGCGAATATTTTATTGGATGAAACTAAACTTCAATTTTTATACAATTATGTTATATTTAAGTATTAAATGCTGAGAACTGAACTCAATATTTAATCAGGTTGTATTACAAATGTCTTCTATCCTAATATTGTCTGTATATGTACACATCACCTATATTAACCTTTGTCTGTGCACTTTTTAATTGTTTCAATGATTTGGAAAAATACAGTTTTTTAACAATAACTTTTGCATGCTTCTCTTCTTTGCCAATACCAGTTAAATCAAGTTTATGTGATTTGGGCAAATGTTCATGTAAAACATCACCAATAAGACCATGTCATAATGGTAATCAGCATTATGGATGGGTGGTTTCTTGAGTAACAATGATTATGTAAGCTGTACTTATGTAAGTGAGGTCTTACACAAACCATAATCCATGACAGTGTATGATTTTTTTTCCTAATAACATTTTACACACTAGGATAATATAAAACTGACTGGATCTGAAACTCAGAAATGCAGCAAGTCCATGCCCTGTTTTCATTTTAAATGACTAAGTGCAGTTTTTCGTGGAAACTGAGGTCCATCCCTATTTTCTGAATGGGAAATAGACTGTAATACAGAGAAGCCATTTTTAAAAATGCATTTAATGACACTGGAAATCTGGATATTTTCAATATTAATAGATATGTATATGATAGATAAGGTAATAATATCTTAAATCCATCTATATAATACATTGAAAAGTGTCTATTTAACTAATAATACAAATCAAACTACATAAATGTAGATTATGCTAAAAAGAAATAGATGTAATTTTCATCCTAAATTTAATTTTAATATACTTGGCAGATTTTTTTTCTTTTTGTTTCAAATGATTTAGCAATTGTCAAAAAGATTAACTTTTCCGTGCATTTCTTCTGTAGCCTAACAAAAAGAATTATGATCAATTCTGTGCAGAGAAGTAGAAATCCACTGGTAACCAATGAACAGTGTGTTCTCATATTCCCATCTGACAGCTATCTTTTGAATAGCCTCCTATCAAATTTCAATGGTGGGCATACTTCAGAGCAACAGAGCACTTCAATGCATATACAACTAACACTTTTTGTAGCTTTTACTCTTGATGTTCTGTCATCAGACACCTGTCCATTTGTGAAGCGTGTTAAAATTCTATAAACCTTGACTTCTTTAGGCAAAGCTATAAGAAAAAAAATACATTTTATACTATATGCTTTCTTTCCTTTTCACACTACCTATGTAGCTTTCCAAAGCACCTTCCTCCATTTCATAAAAAATAAAACTAGTCTAGCCTTGTAAGCTGCTTAATAGATTTAATAATATTTTCTTATAAAATACCATTAACTTTTCCTGTTAAGCAATATAATCAGAAGTATGCAAGTTTTAGCATTTGTGAATATACTGATAGAGTTTGAGTTGAGAATCACTGAAGAAAAGTTGTGTTATTACTATTTGTAAGTGGGTACTCTAAATGTTCTCACATTTAGATTATTTGTTTTTTCCAATGATATTTTAATACAGAAAAATGACAAATTGTGATTTCAAAAGTATTAGACTCATAAGATCCATTCTACACTGAAAATACCGTTCAAATATTAATATTTTACTTCTATTTAGGAACAATAGTCAATCCTTACTTGGATAGATTTAACTACATAATTGAATTCATATTCATTCAGAAGCAAATCCACAGAGTTCAATAATGTTTTCCTCTAGATAAGTACAAATATAATTAACCTAACACTCTTAAGTTTGCAAATTCAATTATGCAACTTGGAGCTGCTTAATAAAAGACATCACACATTATAAATGGATGGCACAGAAGCAATCCAGTTTTTAAATGATGTAAACAAAAAAAGAATGCTGTCATCACAAAGTAAAATTAATACAGTCTTTCTCAGACTTTAGAAGGTACATTGGGATCATATATACTTAACACTCAAATATCAACACATAACAAAACAGAACCGATTCTTTACAATACCAGTATTTTACATCTAATTAAAATATTTTGTTAGCTATTCCCTTATATCTTAAAAATAGGTAGAGGCAACAGCATACAAATAAAGGGGGGGGGAACCTTGGTGTTTTCCATGCTTTAAGATGAATCCTCGTCTGTAGGTACAACTGGAATCCATTAACCAGTATTGCTAATTGAACTTTTATTTAAAGATTTTGCTGCATATTTGAATTTGTAGCAGAAAGTTTAAATGAAAATAGTCTTTGAATTTTAAGACAGTCGGGAAACAAAAACAATCATTTTCTGAAAATCAAGTACCAAACTTAGCAGGGTATGATTGTGTAATATGAGGATTCATATTTTTATGACTTATTTGAGCTTTGTATATTTTTGTTTTTACAGTACATTTTAAGTTGAAGTAGAGAAAAATATATGATGATGTTTTCTATAGTCATTTTAATCTACTCTTCTTATGAAGCCAGCATTTTCAGCCTTGTAATAAGAAGGATAACACTACTCTTGAAATAAAAAGTTCAGGAAACAAAGCATCCTTTAATCTTAATTGGAATAAGGTTCTGCACATTGTGTTTAAGTGCATGAAAGGAAAAATAGGCTCTCCAGTGTCTCTCAGACTCTTAGACTTTGAGGTCTGTTGTTGCTTTCCAAGTGTTGACAAGCATCTAGCACACCTGCCACTGTATAATGGACTGAGGACGATTGAGTATCAACAGAACAGACGCTGCAATTTAACAATGAGCCTCCAAAAATGAGACAGAATCCAGCAAACCAGCCTATAAAAAGTGCTTCCCCAAAGTCCCACCTCGGAACGATGTCTGGAATAGTTTCATCCCAAAATTCCTGCACAGTGGTATGAGCAACCCAAGACACTGGGACTAAGGCTGCAGCTCCTGATATCCAGCAGAATATTCCGCCCAGCAACAATAACCGCTTCTTTAGATCCTGTTGTTGTTCTCCAATCTTTAAACAATCCAATCCAAAACTTGAGAGTAAGAGACCAGAAAGTCCTAATCCATTGGATATGAACATCAGAATCCTAGAAATTTGGAGCTCAGGGGGTAAAGCTAAAAAAGAATCGAATTCTTTGCACTGCATTCCCCCTTCTTCATGGACCACACAAGCTTGCCAGAGTCCCATTGTCCAGATCTCCAATTCATTCAATTCTAAATTGAGATTTTTCCACTGAGGTAAGTAAGTTGTGAGGCAGGATAAGACCCATCCTAACAGGCAAAATAAAATCCCTGCTAACTGCATTATGGTTCGGTTCACTAAAGCCATTGTAAAGGATGCGATCGACTGGCTGGAAAATCTTTTGGCCAGGTTTTTTTGGAACTTTGACTTTATATAGTGGCTGCAGCTCCGATGATGGTTGCTTTTTGCTCTCCTGAATATAAACTTTAACTATTAACCCTTTAAGAACTCTGAAACATGTTTTTGTTCTTCCTGAATATAAGGTTTCTTGCAAACGATGAAGGACTCTGCTTAACCATGAGTTGGGTTTTGTGATAAGGATTTGATCTGTTACCTTTCAATTTGCTTGGTAAAATTATATCCCCAATGCCTGATGATTGCAAGTCTGAGGATGAACAAAGAAAGCTCTATGACCCCTCACCTAAAAAAAACAACAGAAATCTTTGTGCTTCAATACGGATTAATTAGATTTTAAGTGGTGATAAAAAAACAGGTCTGTCTACAACAGGACTTCATTGTAATAGCTAAATTTGAGATTTCAGGGCTTCAAATCAAGGCCTTGTAGAGAAAGGCATCCTGTTTTTCTATCTTCTGTACTACTATGCTTCCTTAGTTAAATGTATACATTAAGACTTATCTTTCATTCGCATCATTTTTCTGCAAAGAAAGCTTTGAAATATATTGATTTTCTGTCCTGTCTGAAGTTACTTTTAAATGGGCTTTCTTTACATCTGAGTTTTTCAAGAACAAAAGGTTTGGTGTAGTGGCTAAGATGTCAGCCTAGAAAGCAGCAGACTATGACTTTCAGTCCCACCTTGGGCATGAAAAACCAGGGGGCTGACTTGGAGCCAATCACACACACTCAGTCCATCTCACATCACAGATTATTGTTGTGGAGAAGATAGGAAGTATTGGTATGTTTGCTGCTTTGAGTTGTATGTGAAATAATATGAAAGATAAAAATCGTTTTCAAAAATAGAAGTTTGAGCTAACAACGGATGTCTAGTAGTACTCAAGAATCTACCATTGACAAGGATTATTCATTAACAGGTTTTTAATATAAATCTTAGAGATTGAGACAGAGGCATTTGTGACTGTTTGGTAACCCATTTCCTCAACAGGTATAACTAAGGTCTCATTTATATTACTTTCACAAAAACACCTTAAATCTTTTCTATAGCAGTATAAAGAATGAGCTATGAAAATTATGGCATGCATGTACAACTGATTTTCTTATTTTAGTAATGTGCTTATACTTGGTGCTGACACATAGGAAAAGCAGCCTTTTCACCATCAAGAATGTTAACCCAATACAGAGAATGTACTTTGGATGAAGAATTGTGTCATTGCTTTATTTGGTTCTGCAATGGCTCCTAGCAAAAGTGCCTTAAATGGCTTTAAATTCTTCATTTAAAAAAAAACACCCTTCAAGTTTAAGATAAGAGAGAAAGAATTTCACAATTTCCACCTCTTCATAATACCGGCAGCAATAACAAATTTTGTCTTGCTTTGTGCCCAGTCTCTCTTGTAGGGTTGTGGTAGATCTCACAGAAATAGTACTGGTTTCTTTTTTATAAAGCTCATGCCATGCTACTGAGAGTAGGATTACAACTAGGTATAATATTTGCATAGTGAAGTTTTAGAATTGCATTGTCTTTAAGGAAATGGAACATTTGTAAGATAGAGATCCTGTTTGATCAAAAACAAGCACATTCTCATCACTTTCAGGATAGATTACTGCAATCTACTTTATCTGGTGCTGCCTTTGAAGACTATTTGGAAACTGCAATTGGAGCAAAACATTGTGGCCTGCTTTTCTAGTGAGTAAGAGCTACAACAGCTTTAAAACACCAGTAGGCTTTAGAGTATAACTCATAATGCTGGCTCTATCTATAAGGCTCTTCACAGCTTGGCTATCAAACACTGTCTCCCATCTTGTATAGGGATGTTAGACTCAATGCTTCTTCACTGCAGTGCTGGAAGTGCCTCTTTTGGTTTGTGCCCATGCTGATGTCCTTTGGAAATGATGTAAAGACAATGCAATTCAAGAATTATTTGTTATGGTCACCGATCAGCCCCTGCAGAGATATAGATTATTCTTAACTGATGCAATTGTTTTAACAGTTTTATTTTGTTCCTGTTTTTTATAACCTAATATGTGAACCATTGGGAACCACACAGAACTACAGAAATATTGTAAGTAAGTAAATGAATAAATCTATCTAAAAGGAGACAAATGCAAACAAAGAACCTCCACCAGTAATGCTATATGCTGTGTTGTGAACTTCTGCACAAAATTCTGTAATTTGTAGTAAGAAATTAAAGTCTCAGAAAAATGTGATAAACATATGAAATGCTTAAAGCTAAAATTACACCTCTAACAATATTAGAAATGTTGGTTGTGCTTGCATTAATTTTGGTACACATTTATTTGTTTTTCTCCTTATATCTAGACTAAGCATTAGAAGTTGTTATGCTAAAAAAGATTCCATTATATAGAATATGACACAATTCTCTTTAAAGTGACTGCTAGCATAAGAATAATTAGCATTGTGATTGATCTCTTGGAAATTCTGAGAACATAATACACTCCTATAATGAGAGTTGACTGCACATTGCCATGGTTAGCGTGGAAGTCACATGAAGTCTTCAAGTTGAGCTCAACTTCTTACACAGGTATGTGAAGTCTTTGTTGCAGCTTGTTTTCTTCTTTGCTTCCATTCCTCACTTCTCTCCAATTTGTTATTTTCTTTCGAATACTTATAATGTACCAGAAGTCTCACTTTTAGATTCTCCACTCTAAATTACATGTTTTGCAACCATTTGGTATGTCTGCCACAGCAGCAACATGGAGTGAAGTAAAAAAAAAAAAAGGACAAGATGACAGCCAAAACTCCACAAACCAAGTCCCATTCTTCTTTTATGTGTAGCTGCACTTTACCCTGGTCCGGAGAATTGCATGTCTAGGCATCTGTTCCTTCCATCATCCTCTCATTGCCTGTAGCTGCATAAAAATCCTGACATGTATTGAAGCTGATACCTAGTCTTAAATTTGTAATCAAAGCTGGAGCCCAGAAGACAGCTTGTAGCTGCTGTGTGCTTCCAAATAACCATGAGATCCTTCCTTGAAAATAAAACTGCTTTGTCTCTGTTTCCTTATCTTTCTCCTTGCTCTAAATGTAAAGCTTCTATTCCACATGGTTTATTATCACTGCCAACACTTGGGTCCTCATGGAGCTCTTCCAAAACTTCCATGTTATTTCTTTAATATTTCCACAGTTTTTCTTTTAAAGATTTTAATTTGCCTGCTCCCCCCCCCACATATTGTCAGTATTATCCAATTCACAAGTTCATATTCTATGATTAAATAATATTCAAACCTGCTTTGTTCTCTAAGATATCGGTTATGAAATCTGTTATACAATGATTACTCTGAGTAATCACAAGTTAATTTTCTCTAGCTAAAGTAGTTATATCATTTTTCAGAAATGCAGTGTACAATGGACAATATGCCCATTACACGTCTGGGAAAGGGCCTGGTATTCCCACATTTATCATGACAAGTGAATAAATGTGAATTGCATATCTGTAACATATGCTCATCTTTAGCAATACTGAATGCTAATAATCATGTTAAATAATTCTGGTGATATGGCTGCTATTTCTGCTGGTGTGGCCACTGCTATTATATGAAAAATTATTGATGAACTATTGCACAGATATTCAAAACAACTGTTCTTTATATTTTATGTGGGTTAGTTATACTCAGTGGTGTGCTGCTGATTGTTCAAAAATCAGCTCTGCTAACTCCATTGCTGCTGCCACACAGCATCACTAGATGAGGAAGAGCTGACTGACACTCTAGATGTCAAGGCTCAGCTCTGCTCTCAGCAGGTTAACAAAATTGCAGAAAATTAACTATCGGCTCCCATGACCTGATATAAGTTGGTCCAGCACACTACTAGTTATATTCATCACATATTAAGCAAATCTATTGTAGATACCTTCATTACCAGAAGATATGTGGCATCGACATTGCAACTGATAAACTGTTGTCCCTGTTACTTTTTCAGTATAATCCAGCTCTTGTTTTTTTAGATCTCTGAAAAAAGAAACAAGCTTCTTTTTTTCTGTCAAGAGTGTATTTGGGAAGAGGCTGAGTCAAACTACCTTGAATGATCATTGCCCCCTGGATTTCACAGTCTTAAGGGTTAGAGCCAATTAATATAATTAAGTTGTAAGTGAATTATCAAATAGGTTTTCAGTGTTTATTGTCCAGAAGTCAACTAAACAGAATCTTTGAGGAACCTTCTCCAGATTGCCTTGATATCCTAATTATGAGGTTGAAGAAGCCCTGAGCCAGTGCTTTATTTTGTGAGACCACCACTACTTTGACTTTTTCATTCAGATGTATTTGGAGTTTTTATGTAAGATGATGCTTGGTTTATTCCATTTGATCTGTAGATATTTCATGTATCTAAAGGAACACTTGAAGGCACCATCATGCACATATAAATTCCCCCTTTCATACAGAAGCAGTCTTTTCTGCTCTACTAGTAAAACACAAAGGTTAGTATAGTCAAAATCCCATTTGTAACTCATTGTTTACACATGATGAATAGTCCATTCGTTTGATGACAGCATACAACAATGTGAATGGAAATAATGAAGTTCATGGAAAAGGGCCAAGAAATTTTTCCAGGGGCAGAAAAAAAGGTAGGACTTGATATCTTTTGAAACTTGATGAAAGGAAGTCATGAGAGGATCAGAGACAGGGCTGACATTGTTAAGTACTTCATTGTAACTGGAAATATTTGAAAAACTCAAACCACCAAAACCGAAATATTCGCTAAAAAGGGGAAAGACAGCTATATTCAGCGAGATCAAGACAATACTTTTGATATGTCTGCCAAGGTCAATCAAAGAATGTTAGATTTAAAAGATAATGCCAAAAACAATCTGTTCAAGGTCCAACAGCAGTCCTTCCATCCATCTATGCATCCATCAATCTCACTTCAGGATGGTGAAATGAAAAAAAAAATCCAAGTGTGACTTCATTGAAGTGCCTTACAAAAATACAGCAAATTGAAACATACCAAAGATTATTTGAAAGACCAGCAACAGTATATATTCAATAATTAATATTGTACCCTTGTGACTCTATAGCCCCGGGCATCAGAAATAGATCTTCCATTCAAAGAGACACTGTGAAAGTCTTTTAACAGAAAAAGTAAAAGAATTTCTTTACCAGAAGAGAAAGAAAATGCTATGGTCTTAAAACTTTATATAAGTGGCACCACAGGACATTACAAGAACAAAAGTGTGACTTCCTAGAGCATCTTGATCTTCTGAGTGTAATGTTTTTACCAGGTCATTTTCTTGCCTTTGCCTCCTTCAGAGGAAGTAAGTGGAAAGCTACAATAGCAAAAAAAAACTACAATCAATGCTTCTAAAATGTGTGTTTGAACAAGCTTGATGTTAAAAGTACATTTTTGTTTCAGACCAGATAGATGACCATCATTTCAGTTTGTTCTGTTCAAAAATACACTGATATTAAATGATAATAACATAAAATTAACAAGGAATACCATGAAGATACTTTTTACAGGCATCCAAAAAATCTTTGGACTAGAGGTTTAGAAAATGATAGTTCCCACTACCAAATTGTTTGTATCATGAGATAAAAAAAGGATTGAGGAAGCTTTAAATAGAAAAAAAATCTAATAATTTGAACTTTATATCACATTTCAAATATTTTATTATTATATTTTTTTTTAAATGAGTAATGATTATTTGTAGGGTGTTTTTTGTGAGCAAGCTTAAATGTCTTTGCCATCTTAAAATGGTAAGTAGAAGAAAATGTAGCACAAACCTAAAATAGACTTAACATAGACCACCCCGCCAGCCTGCATCAAATCCTGTCTCCACTAATGTATACGTGCAAGCTTAGCATCATCAGTCCATTCTCTGCAGCTGTTAGCCATACCCAAACCATTGAGCTAGGCCATTAAATGCATTGCTTCAGACATTAAAAAGTTATTCACCCATATTAAGAAGTCTTGTTTGCTTAAAGCTAGCTTTTGTTTTGATCTTGCAAAAATCTTTAGGCAACTCTTCTATGTGTAACCATTAAATGAATTCATAAGAGACAATATAGAATTGTCCCAATTGGTCTTGTGCCCTAATCATGTTTATTTTGCTGTCATTGTCAAAGAGGGAAACTAGGCAGAAGTCTTACTGACGTTTTTCCTTATGTGGAAGAATTCTATTTTAAGTCTGTACAAATATTCAAAATATTGAATATGCTTCATGCTGAATACATGGTAATGCTCATGGTATATGATAGTGAGTGTATTGCCATTCTATAGGAAGCTGGGATTTCTCATAATGTAGAATCTTAAACTGTAGATACAGGGGCCATCATTCATAGGTTGAATGATTCCAACAGATTCCATTCTGATATGGACAAGCAAAAATTATGACATAAATGAACCAGAAGATAATAATATATAGATTTGATTAAGGTATCGAGTTAACTATAATCTATAATTTTTAGTAATGTTCTGTTAGAGGCTAAGAGTTTCAGAGATACTACTGGAGTTAGTATACATTAATACTATGTCATTAATTTATTCTTTGGATGTGAGCTCACAAATACTTCAATCTTTGCTTGGTTTCCCTCCTTACAAATATTTATAAATATGACCAGCTGCACTGAAGATTTCTGCAGAAAATTAAAAAGTGTTTTTCTGATGTGATTCACAGAGGCTTGGGAAGAAGGTAAAAGTGCCACAGTACTGACTCAAAAAGAAAAATACAGGTAGTTCTTACCTTACAACAGTTTGTTTAGTGATGGTTTGAAGTTACAACAGCACCGGTAAAAGTGACATTACCATTTTTCACACTTACAATTCTTGTAGCATCCCCATGATCATATGATCAAGATTCAAATGCTTGGCAATTGACTCTTATTTTGACTTGCCATGGCCAGGGTCATGTGATCATCTTTTGTTACCTTCTGACAAGCAAAATCAATAAGGAAGCCACATTCACTTAACAACCATATTACCAAGTGAACAACTGCAGTAATTCACTTAACAATGGTGGCAAGGAAGGTTATAAAATGGGGCAAAACTCACTTAACACATGTCTCACTTAGCAACAGAAATATTGGGGTCAATTGTGGTCATATGTTGAGGGCTACCTGTAAAAGTACTATGTTGTCTATGAATGCCATGGCAACCTGAGTAGAATTTTTTTAAAGCATCGAGCTAATGATTCAACTTGAAATACCTCTGACTATACTGAAAGAAATGAACAGCTTACATGAGGAACTACTTAGATGTTTTTAAATCTCTAGTCATTGTGCTCTTCAAATACATCAGTTTTTAAGGACAATCCACTCAACTATTTTTTTTCCCTTGTTCAAATGAGACAACTCAAAATCCGTCTTCTTTAACCACTTAAAATATATCACAACTGTCAGATTTCAGTGTTGGTTAACATAGAACATAAGTCCAAGTCCAAGTCCAAGTTAACATAGAACAAGTCCTTGATTCATCCTAGTTTTGTGAACTGTTTAAAAACATTCCCACATTCTAAATTGTTTTTAGCAAACTTTGCATTATTTCACGTGAACATTAATGTTTTCATGAATTTGTGATAATAAGATACCTTTTATTTCTTCAGAATATATACAAAATAGATTAGAATGTTTATTCAAAACCAACTGACAGAAAGTACCAACCCTTAGCATTTATTTGCATTTATAAAAGGATATAACGTATTTCATTTTATTTTTCTCTTATGTGAAGTCCCTAGTATTACATTTGCATTTCAAAAAGTGCATCTTGCCCAGATTAATTCAGGCAATATATCAAAAGAACAAGAAAAAGAATGGCTGAACTGAACAAACCTAGACTTAGAATCTAGTTTTGTAGAGAAATGATTGGCTGTTATATGATACAATATATTACATTCTTGCCATACCCATTGGTGCAAATGAGTTTGGGCTGAGATAACAGTATAGCAAGATTACCTGTGCTTCCAATTCCAGTTTATATAGGTAGGCTTTACAGGCAGCATCTCTGCAAAAATAAATGGCTAAAATACAGCAGAAAACTCAGTTATTTTTCTTGATAATGAGCTTTAGCATCAAATCTAGTAATTTGGTGTTGAG